ACGAAGTAGGCGATCTCCTTGCCCTTACAAACTCCTTGGTTCAACTCCACAATCTTTGTCGGAGGCTCCCAAGTGACACCTAGCCAATCTAGGAGACACCACTCTCCAAGAAGTAACAAATGGTGTGTTGATGATGAACTCCTTGCTCTTGTGCTTCAAATGATAGTCTCCCCAACACTCAACTCTCTCTCATAGGATTTGATTTGGTAGAAAGAGTATTTGAGTGAAAAGCAACTTGGGGAAGGCTAGAGATCAAGATTTCTGTGGTTGGAATGGAATATCTTGACCTCAACACAAGTGTAGGTGGTTCTCTCTCAGAAAATGTGTATTGGAAGTGTAGGCATGTTCTGATGGCTCTCTCCTCGAATGAAGAGTGGGTGGAGGGGTATTTATAGCCTCCACACAAAATTTAACCGTTACACACAAATCACCAAACTCGGTGGGACGGAATCATGAAACTCGGTCAGACCGATTTAGTTCAAAATGTGAACGTTAGGATTCTCGGTGGGACCGACATGTCAACTCGGTGGGACCGATTTCGTTAGGGTTAGGGCATAACGTAATCTCGGTGAGATTGATTACATAAACTCGGTGAGACCGATGTTGGTAATGGACTAACAGAGATTTGGTCAGGCAAACTCGGTGGGACCGATTCGCTCATCTTGGTTGGACCGAAGTGTTACGAAAGGGAAACAGAGAGTTTACATTGCAATCTCGGCGGGACCGATCGCTCATCTCGGTTTTACCGAAACGTTACGAAGGAAAACGGAGAGATTACAATCCCATCTCGGTGAGACCGAGATCCCTATCGGTGAGACCGAACTGATTAGGGTTTCTGGCAGTGGCTATGTCAACTGAACTCGGTGGCGCCAGATAGAAAGAATCGGTGGGGCCGAGTTTGACTTTTGGTTTGGGACATATGTGGATGTGAGAAAGTAGTGGGGGGGTTTGGAGCATATCACTAAGCATTTTGAGCAAGCATCTCATTAAGCAACACCTCATCCCTTCTTAATAGTATTGGCTTTTTCTATAGACTCAATGTGATCTTGGATCACTAAAATAGAAAATGTAGAGTCTTGTGCTTTGAGCTTGAGCCAATCTTTTATCCTTAGCATTTTGAAGGGTCCATTTTCTAATCCATGCCATGCCAATCATTGAGCTTTCCTGAAATATTCATCTTGGAATAGCATTAGCTCAATGAGCTATATGTTGTTAGGAATTACCAAAACCACCCAGGGATAGTTGCACTTTCAACTTGCTACTAAGGACAAAAAGGTTATCCCATCCCTCCCCCGGGTTGCGTGCCAATGATGGACTTGCGACTAGGATAAAAAATGAGGTCAGGCCTAGTTGCGTATCAAGGGTTGACTTGCAACTACGACAAAAAAATCGGGCTCATTTGTGTGTCAAGGGCGGATTTGCAACTAGGACAAAATATCCGAGTCAGTTGCGTGTCGAGGGGGGGCTACAACTGGGCCAAAAGGGTAAAAAATAAAAGTAATGTGTCAAGACAAGTGGGACGAAGGGTCGATAACAAGTTGTGTGTCTAGGGTGCACTTGCAACTGGATCAAACTAGATTTATGACTGAGATAAAAAAGGGCCGAGTCCAACTGCAAGTCGATGGTGGACTTACAACTAGGACAATGACAAAATTATGGGCTCAGTTGCGAGTTGAGGGTGGACTTGCAACAAGGAAAATTAGGAAACTACGATTCCAGTTGCGAGTCAAGGGTGGACTTGCAACTGGGATGAAACAAAACTACACAAAACTATGATACTATTTGCGAGTCGAGGGTGGACTTGCAACTGGGACAATAACAAACTACAAGCCTAGTTGCGAGTCGAGCGTGGACATGCAACTGGGATAACAAAACAAATGTTAGTTGCGAGTTGAGCATGGACTTGCAACTAAAAGAACTACGAGCACATTTGTGAATCGAGAGTGAATTAGCAACTGCGACAACTATGAAGCTACAAGCCTAGTTGCGAGTCAAGGGTCGACTTGCAACTGGGATAAAAAAAACTATGTGCCAGGTTGGGAGTCAAGGGTGGACTTACAACTGTGATGAAAAACAAAAACTCAAGCTCTAGTTGCGAGTCAAGGATGGGCTTGCAACTGGAAGAACTACGAGCCCAGTTGCAAGTCAAGGATCGACATGCAATTGGGATAAAACAAGCTAAAGATCTGGTTGCGTGTGAACTTGCAACTAGGAGGAAAAACAAAATACATGCCTAGTTGCAATTCAATGATGTCCTTGCAACTGGGATGAAACAAATTACATGCCTAGTTGTGAGTCGATGGTGGACTTGCAACTATGACAACTACACTAAACTATGATATGACTTGCGAGTCGAGAGTACACTTGCAACTAGGACAACTACACACTATGATTCGAGTTGCGAGTTGAGTGTGGACTTGCGACTGGGACGAAACAAATTATGGGTCTAGTTGCGAGTCAAGAGTGGACTTGCAAGAGAGACAACTACACAAAACTACGATACCATTTGCAAGTCGAGGGTGAACTTGCAACTGGGATAATAACAAACTACGCGCCCAATTGCGAGTCGAGTGTAGATTTACATCTGGAATACAAACAAAATACATGTCCATTGCTAGTCGAGGGTGGACTTGCAAGTGGGATAATAACAAACTATGAGCTCAGTTGCGAGTCGAGAATAGATTTGCAACTGGAATGAAAAAGAAATACATGTCCATTGCTAGTCGAGGATGGACTTGTAATCGAGACAACTACGAGACCATTTATGAGTGAAGGGTGGACCCTACAAATTTTACACCAAACCAAAACGCATTAAACTTATAAAGGATGAGCGGGTTGCTAGGCACAACCACACTATCCACGTCAGCTATGAATAGTGCACACTTATAAAGGATGAGCGGGTTGCTAGGCACAACCACGCTATACATGAATAGTGCACACGAATAGTGCATTGAGAGAAAACCGGTGCACGGCGCACGCTTCCTCCTCCATCCCCTTTCGCGTGAAAATATCTGCTGCTCTCTCACTCCTTCCACTTCATCCCTCTGCGCCGCCTCCTCTCCTCCCGATTTGCATCCTCCCCCAGTCCCCGCCTCCTCTCCTCCTCCCCAATCTGACGCCTCTCGCCGCCCTATCTCCTTCCCCTACGCCTTCGACCCCACCCTCGCCAGCTCCCAAGGATCCGCCGAGTGGAGAACCAAGAAGGAGGAGGGACGTGAAGAGGAGAAGAGGGGGTGCGTCACAGGAGACCTAGGCGGTGGCTCGAGCAGAGGAGCGGGGCCTCGAGACGCCGCGTCCGCCACTCCCCCGCCTCGAACCAGCCGCCGCCATGGAGAAGGATGGAAAGTAGGGGAGGCCGGCGGTGGAGGGAGGAGCGGCGAGGACAGAGGCGCCGGCTGTCAGGGACCTCCCAGCCTTCTTCTTCTCCATGTCAGGTGGAGCTCGAGCCGTCGAGCGCGACCTCAATCTGGAGTAGGGTAGCAGCAGCCGCAGGGGGCTCCAACCTCGTCTCCGCGGGAGGGGGCAGGCGCAGCTCCTCCTCTCCACTCCCCCACGTGACAGCGGCCCCAACCCCACCACCTCTAGCCCCTCTGCAATGAAGGTCTCTTTTTTTTCTCTCTTCTTCCGCCCCCGTCCAAGGATTGGTCTGTGATTCTCGTCTGTTGTTTTTGTTGGGCAGTGTTTCGGTGTTTGGTTTTAATGGTGGGTGGCGAGAAGAACAGAGGTGGAAGCAGGACCGCGAGGCCGGAGCTCCAGGCGTCGCTCGCGTTTAGGTGGAGTGGAGAGGTGTCGCGGGCCATGACTGATGGGTCGTTGCTCACTGGTCGTCGTCCCCTGTCCACCATCCAGGTTGCACGTCCTCACCATAATCTGATTTTGATTCCTTGATTTTTCTGATAAAGAGAGGAAGAACTTGGGATGCAGGTATTAGGCCTTAGATTCTTTGCCTCCAGCAGAAGAAATGATTCATGTGTGCCTCCCTTTTTGTTATATCTTACGAAATTTCTAATCTGGGCAAATATCACATAATCAGCTTGGCAGCTAATATCCAAAATTGTTAGTGTCGTCGGTACATTGATATCTTATTTTGGTAAAGGTTTTTCTATCAAGAACTACATATGCTCGACATGGTGTCATGGTATCTATAGTTGTTGTGGAGCCTGCTGGTATTCTTACCCTTAATCGCCTCTTTCTCTTCTCTGTATGAACCCTTTCTTGATTTGTTTTTGTTCGCGATCTGCTCTGCTTGTTTTGACTCTTTTTAGTTGATGCATTATTCTATCTATTTTTGTGTACTCAGGTGCCTATGCGAGAAACATTGGAAGAATCCATGTATTTAGTCGTGGCATGTTTGGCAGCTACAGCAGCTTCTGCAGCTTTCTTCCCTCGTCATTCCTCATATATGTGGGCAATTCAATGCTGTTACCAGTGGGAGTCCATAGTGCGTGTGTGTCTGGTCCAGTCTGTGGTTCCATAGGATAAGAAAAAAGTTTGTCAAGAATGGATCTCTAAATGTGTTTCGCCTTGAGGTAAATAATTTGCATGATGTCTACTTTTCGTTAATTTGGGTCAGGCCAAAATAAGGTGTAGGCAAATTTCAGATTTTTTATATGTACTGCATTTTCACAAATTAAAACAGTGACCTTGACATTACCAGTCTATGGGGGGAGTCATGGAGAAGCCAAGCTTAAATGAGATTTCAAAATTTTGTGGCCTTTGTTAACATTTAAAAACCTGGTGCTTCTACTTGTGAAAGAACATGTAGAGATAAGGCCCATCAGTTCAGGTAGAGATAATGAAAGAACAGGTATGCTTCCTTTCCTTGTTAACCCTATACACTTGACAATGCCTCATTTCTGAATAAAGTCTAAACCCAACGTTTACTGTTCATTGACCACCATTTGCAATCGGCACTGACAGAAGAAGGACTGAGCAAGAGGAGGAACTTCGTCGACCCAGCCGTGAGCAAATGATGCTCTGGCGAGTCGATGATGACCGTCATGGAGATCTGCCTGCGGGGCCTGACCAAGGAACCAACGCTGAAGCCGTTAGACGAGGACGTGCTCTGGAACCTGCAGTTTGCAGCCCTGGTGTAGGATGACTGGAACAGTGAGGAGTCCCCGCTCTCATCGTCGCAGATCCGTGCACAATCCGCAGAGTACTAACCTCTAGGAAGGTATGTGTCTTTTTACGTGCAGTTTGTCACTTGCACATCTAAATTCGTACTTTGGAATGATGATCAGAAATTGCAACTAAGGTCTGAGTTCTGAAATGACATGATGTCCATGTTCTTGGCAATCTTGCAGGCTGAGAAAAAATATTGGCAAGCATTACCATTATGATCCTCCATCGATCATCATTGTTGAAGGAATTTCTGTTTCTCTTCATATAGGATACATATATGTGATTCTCATGTGATCCTTTTGCTGGAAACTTGCTAATCTTAGGGGTGTTGCTACTGGTGTAGAAACCGTTTTATCAAAAGAACTAAAGTAGTAGCTAATCCAAGCATTGAGGAATTGACCCAGAGGTTACGCTATACTGGCACGAAGTCAGAGCAGCGCCTAAAGACAACACAAGATAGTTTCTGATGACCTTCAGTCTATATGTCCTAACCAACAACATCCACCTTTTGTTTTATCAATTGATCCAGTATCTTTGCCCTTTTGGCATTGCTCTGATCAAGATATGTATAGCCTTTAGATTTCCATTCATGTATGATACTGCATGTACACTTTAGACCTCATTACTGTCTCTGTGGTCAAAAGAAGTTTGTGATCAATTGTTCTATATATGTAATCAACTGCCCTTCTACTAATATTTTCAGAAGACTATTTATATATGTTTACACTGGTTAGAGAAAATCATGACATTGCCAGCAGCAATTTAATATTTCCATATGTTTCAATCTGTCTCTAAATATGTTTATGTGTACTCTTTCAATACTTGGCTTGCTCTCGCCCTTTGCGCCATTGGCGCAACGAGTCATCTAGTAGGGAAAACAAAAGAGAATTAGGACGCGCCCCTCAAACGACAACATATATGGGGTATGTGAAAAGAAACGCGAGAACAAGCCAACACAAAACAAAACGGGACAAAGAAGAGGCGAATGAGCTGAGACGAGCACGCCTGATCAAGTTTGTGCGAACCATTAAAGCAAACCAATCGGTTGGTTATAGACTTTCACGAAGATGAGATTTAGCAAATCCGAAAGGAAAAAAACATCTCTTCTCTAGCTACCCAGTCGAATCAAAATAAATGAAAACAGAGAATAAAAGGACATGCAGCCCTCCATAGAATAACTACAACCCACAAAGAACTCAATACACAAAATAGAAAAACGCCCCACTTAAAAAAGTCATATTAGACTTCACTGCTTCACGAGAGACGGGGAGAAAACACGACACAATGACAACCAGCACGACTCAGAAGCATGTATATCTAACAGGATATGAATTAAATGAAACATTGTTAACTCTCATTTAAATGAGAATTAGCAAAACCAATCCGAAATGGGACCTCAGATCACGTCGTGAAAACGTCCTAACAAAAGACACACGCACAAGCAAACCGATGAGTAGACACCAGACGCACAATGCGACATGGATGTGCGTGACAAAATTAACCCGCGACCAATCTTTGCATGACACAAAAGTGATTGCACGACATTTAAAGTGAATAGATGACATAGTGAAATAAATAAATGAATAAATAAGAAAAAACACAAAAGGAAAAAGGAAAGAAATGAAAAAAGCAAAAATATAAATAAAAGAAAAAACAAAGAAAAATGGGAGTGGAAAATCACTTTCACTCCTCACTTCCAACCTACTCGCCACCTGAAGGGCTATAGGAAAATGAACGTTTCGGAGTAACGTGGGAAAGTGAATGGGCACCGCCCCCTCACCTCTTGAGAGAAAAATGGGGACAACTTACCACAGTACTTTTCTTCTGAGAAATTCATGGAAACCCATAACTGAGACAAGACAAACAGAAGAAAGCCAACAAACACATTGAGCAGTGCAGACCAGCCCGAGACAAACAGAAAAAAAAAACACAAACACAACGGCCCGCCGCAATCTCACGTGGAAGACACATGCCGACACGCACGTCAACGCGAAGCGTACGAGCGCGCGAGGAACGATCACCTTGCGCGAGTTGCGCGAGTTTTCTCTACTCCTAATGTCTCAGATGGTAGGTCGCGTTCCGGGTTTTATTTTCGTCCCACCTTACCCGGTCTTTTTTGGTACTTTTTTGGTACTTGCTCCCACCTCCCGCTGACCCGCCACGAACCGACAAAACCACGTACCGAGTCCTCCACCAGCCCCCGCGCACTTCAGGTTGTAACCACCGATCGTGCCCGAGACAAGCGACGAAAAAAAATCTACGAAAATTAACCAGCGATAAAAAAAACCTACGAAAAATAACCAGCGAAAAAAACCCCGCACGTTCGAGCGACGTCACATGCCCTCGAGCGAGAACGACTCGCACGCTAGACTCCCTGCCCTCGTTCGTCGCCGCCTTCATCCCTTCGCCGCCGCCGCCCTTCATCCCTTCGCCGCCGCCCTCGGTCTCACATCAAAGGCGCCCCACTCGCACAACGAACCCGCCGCCCTTCTGGAGCCGAAAGCCGATCCATAGATCCCCATCTGGACGCGCACGTCCGCCTTCTTGGATCCATCGCTGCCATCATGGATCCGCCGCCGCCGTCGCCGCGGAACCCCTTGGACGCCTCCGCCTTCGTGGATCCATTGCTGTCGTCGCGGATCCACCTCTTCCTCCTCCGTTGCTGCCCCTCCGCCCCACCTGCCGGCATCGACCTCATCCAACACGCCTACCTGGTCGGGGCCCCTGACTCGTCGTCCGCCACCTGGTCGTGTGCGTCTTGTCTCTTGGGACGCCGCTCCGACCCGATCCGGCGAGGAGGCAGCCTCCGTCTGCGGCAACGAGGGCGGCGGCCGGCTACGCGAGAGGTTGATGCCTTTGTTTCTGTTTCGCGCTGCAGGTCGTCTTCACGGAGCTCTGCAACATGCTGGATCCCGGGAAGCCGGCCTTCACCCCCAAGAAGGGCAAGCCCAGCGTCGTCATGTTCGTCGGATTGCAGGGTGAGTCTCACTGACTAACCTCGGTTACTTGCTCTGTTTTTTGTTCTATGCATATATATGTACCACTCTGTGTGTAGTATTTCTAGACCATCTACAATAAACTTGATGTTTAAGCACATGTGATGCGCTCATAGGTGTCATGGGAACTGTATGTTTCATGTTTATCCAAATTGTCGTGATAGCCAAGCAAAATTGAATGGTCCAAACCTTGTTGAATTGATGTAAATTTAGGTTATCATTGCGTGTAGAATTGCGGTTAGGGTCATCAGTTGCCTTTCACCAATAGAAGCTGAACTTGTTTAGTTTATTGCTATAATCTTATCCTCTATCTATGTGCTTTACTTCGTTAATTGTGATGGCAAGCAACTATAGCAGTCGGTATTATACACACGGGAGCTCTCAGTTCTGTATTGGGATGGATGGCAAGGTAGATACATTGTTTTGTCGATCTGATTGTGCCTCCATGACGGCATCGTGATGCCCACCGCCGAAGGCACTGCGTCGCGACCAAAGGGGCACCCGGCCACGGCCGAGGACTCACTGCAGTTGAAGCACGCCATCTCGCCACCATGTATGTTGTGTGTTCTTGTGCTGCAGGTCCTTGGGGTTGGGTGTTCTTGTCGCCACCATGTTCGTGCAGGCACGAATTGGACTGAGAAATGCTAACAGAGGAGGAGAAGACCATGCAAGTACGTATGTGCCAAAATTGATACATTTAACTCTAGGTATTGCATTATTTTGCTGCAATGTAGTAGTAATCTTTAAAGAATTTGTAGGAGATAGCAAAAGGACTAGATGAAGGATCCATTGATTTAAAAACACGTGGAAAGAATTCAATTTTGTAAATATTGTATCTACCCTTCCCCTGAAAAGTTTGACGTTGTTACTTGGGAAAAAGGAAAATGCCCACAGATCAAATCCTTTGATACATTGATTACTTTTTAGTTATGCAAAGTTTAAACTTCAGTCATGTTTTATTGGTCGGTTTCCCCAATAAATATCTACCAACCGCGGGTCCTTGGGGTTGGGTGCGGCAACTCGCGGCTCGAAGACAATCTTTTGTGGTGGGGCGTCGCCGCCGCTGGCGGCACCTGCATAGACCGTCTCACTGGGAACGAAGAGATGCTCCGCTGATTTTTTGGAAATGATGATCCCCTAATTTGGAGTTGTAGAAAGGAGGTGGTTGCAGACACAAAGTGGGGACACACAACTCCCAGTCATAATATTCTTTATCTTGGCTCGTTGTTTGGGGATGGACGCATCAATCTGATCGCGCTCTCCTCCATGCCAAACGGATCCTTGGTTCGGAGGTGCGCGGCGCTGACGATGACAACCTTTCTATCGATGCAAGGGCAGCAGGAGCTCATGACGCTGTTGATGCCACCACCATGCACGGGGTTGATGCAAGGTGGGACAAGTATGTATACCAGGCAAAGTACTCAATCTGTTTGGCATTTAGCTTTTTGATTCTGTTTTTAGTGAGCTTTTTGATTCAGATAATTTGTTTATCTGATGCCTTCACTCCAGGTAATCTGTTTGTCTGACATTTTGCTTTTTGATTCAGTGCGATCACTAATGGGGAGAACATAAAACTTCAATTGAGGGCACTGTGATTCTCTAGCTACATGTATCATGTAAGTGACGTCTTTCCATGAATCTTCTATTCATTATATAACCTCTCAGGCCCTTAGAAAAGTATCTCTATTAAATCGATTTCTTTCTGTTGATTCTTATAGAGCTTCTGCAGGAGGGCGTCACCTGCGGCATCACTTGCATCGACCTCTCACCGATCACCATCCCGAGGATGCACGACAGACTGGCGGAGCAGGGCACCAGTGATTGTTTCACCAATTTTCTCGACTCATAGTTCCCTTCCTCTCTCCACGCAACGTTGCCCATTGTTGTTAACTTGTTAATTCATCAGGCCCATTATTGCGGCTACATAGTCTGTCCATCTTGCCTTCCTTCTTAGGAGAAACCAATTTACTGAAGGTAACTATTCTTTATTTACATTTTATTTGTTTCTTCCTCCTACTTGTATGATTTGCGTCGGAAATATTCTGACTACTTGCATGAATTTTAGACCCTACTTGCACAGTTGCTTGCATTTTGTGTTGAGAAACATCTGCTAATTAAATGTACATAATACTTGCAAGTTCTATTTGTTGACTGTGCCATGATAACTTTAGGCCTTTAGTTGTACAAAACTGCCAAAGTAGGTGACAACCACCTGCATCTCAATCCTTGTTTAACTCGACAGACAAGCTAAAGTAAATGCGGAGCCAAGATAAATTGTTGCAAGCCTTTTTACTGACTAGGAACGAGGGGTTGTAGGAAGGAACACTGCACTATGAGTATGCCCTTTGTTAGCTCTTTGCCCTTTTCTGTAACACTAGCCTATAGAAGGATGAATGGTGTCAAGCTCCGGGCAACAAGTAGGATTATCTCAGTAGTAAGCAGTCAGCAGCACTATCTGAGATTGCACATTTACGACCATGGTGGCACACAGAAAAGGAAGGTTGGTCTGAAACAAATTGCCAAATGCTAGGATCAACATTTCTTTTCTAGAGCATCTCCTTTTCGGGAAAGTTGTTGTCGAGAACTCAGTTGCGTGTTCCTTTATTTCCAAGTAACTCTATATAGACCTTGATAGCTTGAATATAATGTTTAAGTATGGTGTATTTGTAAGGTACAATCCATTCATAATTATTGGTAGTAACATGTGTGTATGTGTATCTTTAAATGTACTGTCGCTAGATCAAAATTTGGACATACATAGATAGCTCCAGATGTAGCCTAAATGTTTTTTACTCCCCATATAATCACTGTTGTGAATCCTTGTGCCGTTGTGCCTAGATATATCTAAATGCATCTGCTGCTATATCTCTCAATACTCAATAGCATGGTTTCATGGCGAATCAGTGCCACTGTTATGTGTGTTGATGTTTGAACCGAACCGGTGATTTATTAGAACTTATATTGTTTCTTGTATAGGATGTTGGTTTTCCAAATCATAAGAATATTTGCTTTGCTTTGTTTTTTATGTTTGCAGGTTGGCAATTCCGAAGTTATTGCCTTTCTACTTCAAACTGAAATAATTCCTCTTTGTCTTTAATATGGAGATGGGCACTGAACTTTAAAAAACAGTATGAACTCAACCCCTTCTGTAAATCAAATATTACATTTGCAGGGACGACGTGGGGCTCACGTCGAGCACTTCACCTGCAATGGGTGTGGCCTTCTCCATCTGCCAAACATGCTACAAGTACGAGCACCACGAGGGAACTGCCTGGAGTGCAAGACATGCCACAAGCTCCTCAAGGGTCAGTCAGCCTCCACCCACGGCTGAAGGCACTTGCATATGTGAAGAATATCCATGTCCAATTACATCGCCAGAAAGCAAGAACCATGAGAGCCCACACTAATCATCAAGGTAAAAATTGTCCTGTAGTCTTTTCTAATATTTCATTTGTATGTTGGTTTGGTAAACTTAGCATGCCGCGAGCTATTTTTAAGAAAGTTCAGTCATACCGGATGCTGCTATGAAAAATACATGTTAGGACTATTTACATGCCTATAATTAGGCCCACCAGTTTGGATGGCAAACAATTGTAGCTACGAAGAATAGGATATCTTCTCGATCTCAGGGATCAGCCCATCTGATCTTTTGTTTGATTGGGGTTGCGGTTTTATTGGGCATATAAATTTGTGCTGGGTATATGATCATATTTTTGCTGGCACTGATGTATGGCCTTCCTTATGGTTATTTTTTATAAAAATAAATTGTGTCAGTTTTGCTGTCGATGATAGTAATAGTATCAAGTTCATATGGTAAAATAACTGATATGAAATACTACCCTCGGTTTAGATCTATTTCATGAAGGTCTCATATTAACACCTATGAGTGGGAGTTTCATAATATAGAGTTCCTTATAAGATTGGATACTATTTTTTGCTCTGAAAATATCTATTGCCGATAAGAACGTTTTTCACATAATAAATTGCTGGTTCATGCTGGAGCTTGAAATGTATTCCTTTTTTTCTGTAGGGATTTTTGAAACAAGCAGAAGGTTAGTAACTTCTACGACATCAAAGATCTGACCTTTTAGAGTATGCACCATATTGATTTACTTATTAATTTATTCACACTATATCAGATTTGTCTTGAACGTGATACTTTATTGACTGTACTAGACACGGGAAGTTAACTGTTTTAATTATATAGGATTAGTCTGCACCAATTGCTGCATAAGTTCTCCTTGATACCAATTTACATACTTGCGCTACTAGGCCTTTGGTCAGTTTGCAACTGGTATTTTAGACATGTACGAGTATTCTCATGGTATTTCTATATGTTTTAATTAGTACCAGATGGAATTTGGGAATTAGTCTTACAAAGAGAAGAGAAAAGGAAACATTATTCATGAGTTTGCAGGAATATGGAAACTCAAGGTAGTCTGTTAGCATGAGTAAAAAATAACTTTCATTTTATTTCTTGGTTCGACCAAATTATATTTTATCCGAACGTATGGATGATCGACACAATGGACATACGTAGTTTCTGGTTAGCACTACTCGGATAACAATTATGCCTACTATTACCATTTTTGTGCATTGTTTGGTCTTATGCATTTTAGTTAAATACATCCTTTGTGACGAATAATGATTTTTGAGCATACTATATTCTTTTCATGTGGGGGAGATCGATGATAGAAAAGAAAATTGTGTTTCTGATATGTGTGCTTATTTCTAAGTGCTTCCAATTTCCAACTACTAGGTATGCAACCTTAGATGAACAACTACATCTTTATTTGCTTCAGGATGATTTGATTGTGCAATTAAGACTACATAATTTCACTTTTCGTTTATATTTATTGGTGAGGGCGAGCTGGCGGCGGCATGGCGCGTTGGTGTGCGTGACCGCGGGTTCAGCCAGGGTGCGAACCTATCTGGCATGTGCGCTGGCGAAGTAAGGCGTAGAGGTGCTCCGGCCGACTGTGTGCATTGGTCCGGGGCGGAGGTGCGAGGTGGGCGTGGATCTGGCGCCTAGCATGCGCGAGGGTGGACATATGGGCGTTGTGCGTTTCTTCGCGGCGAGAGGTGTGACTGTGCTGCTCTGCAGATTGATGATGTTTTTCTCCTGGTTTCATGGATCTGCAGTGGGGTAGCCAGTGGTTGCGGCGCCAGAGAATGCTGGGGCAGCGGCCTTGGGCTGATGCACTCAGATCTGACCCTGACAACCGCGTTGTTTCTATGTCGCATGAGTTGCTGTAGCTGGTCGTCGCATGAGGGCTATGCCGGCTGACGACAGGGGGGTGACCTACACAATGTGCTTGGCTCTGATGGCCTGGGTATCATTGCATGACCAGATTTGCAAGCAAGCTCACTGATAGGAGATCAGGGACTCGAGCGAAAGCTCCGTGACCTTCTTAGAGGCATAGTCGTAGACATCTTTCCTATCCTTTCATGTGCTTGGGCTCTCCAGGTGAGAACCTAAAATCCAGTTTTCTGGAGTGGGTGGCGGCGGCGTTTACGCCGTAACCATCTTCGGAGGCGTTGCCTTGGAGGGCCAGCCTTTGGATGTCGTGTGGGGATCTTTCGTTTTCAAGGGCGGTGTATGTTGGGGCTGCGGCTCCGGGATCTTCTATTAAGTGTCGAGGTTGCGGCCTCGGGCGGTACTACGACAACAGCTCCAAGAGGTAGGGCTGCTTGTCGGCATGGCTTGGGTGAGGACCTTGAAGTGCGGAAGTAGCAAGGTTGTCAGCTTCGTCAATGTGCCCCAGTCGGGACTGTTAGACGACATGTTGGGGCAGCGGCCCAGGATGTGGTGCAGCGTTCATGGTCTATGTGCGGTTGGCCTGAGCAGCGTGAGCTGCGGGTAGCTGTATCGTTCGGCGTTAGTGCTTGAGGGAAAGTGGTGGGGGTAGCGGCACCGGAAGGTGGTGCGGCGTTCGTGGTCTGTGTGCGGCTGTCATGAGCAGCGTGGGCTACAGTTAGTTGTATCATGCGGCGTTGCTTCTTGAGGAAGAGCGGTGGCATGTCGGGGTTGTGGCGCGGGATCCATTCGTTCGAGTTCCTTCTCTTTTTTTATCCTTTGTAATCTAATTTCTGCCTAAGTACGGGCTAGAAAAGTT